CCCAATATTTAATACATGAGATGGTATCATTTCCATTAGTAATTGACTTTGCCTCATAATTTCTGAATTTCTAATTCTTTATTTTAATGAAAATTCATCTAAAGGGTGAACTCTGACAAGTATAATAACTAAACATTAAGAGGTCACTATATGAAAATATTATTCAAAACCTTAAATCTTAATAAGTATATTTCCAGAAAGATTAAACTTTCACTGTATTAAAGAAACATTATTACATATCTTTGTTCAATTGGTTACTATAGTAAAATTTTTAATAATATTCTAAATATTCAATTGTTTTTTTCAATTTTTTTCAATTTTTTTTCAATTTGTTACTACAGCAAAGTTTTTTAATAGTAATCTACTTTCCTTTTACTTGTATTATACCTTTCTATTTGTATTTATTCTTTGGAGTTCTTATAATAGGGAAACTATATGATATTTACACATGTGTGTCTTATTTATTTCACTTATATGTTCAAGTGGCATCCACTTCAATATAAAGGCTTGGAGTTCATCATTCTTTAGAGCTGAGTAATACTCTATTGTGTAAAAATACCACATCCTTTTCAACCAATCCTCAGGTGATGGGCATCTTGCTTGTTTCCAAGATTTGGCTATCACAAATTGTGCTGCTATAAACATAGCAATACATATATTCCTATGATATGATATTTTCAGATCCTCCTGGAAAATTCCCAGTAGAGGAATAGCTGGTTTAAATGGGATTTCCAGTCCAATTTTTCTAAGGAGTCTCCACACTGATTTCCATAATGGTTGCACCAGTCTACATTCCCACCAGCAGTGGATAAGGATTCCTTTTTCCCCACAGCCTCTGCAACATTTGTTGTTGGGTGATTTCTTTATGATAGTCATTCTTTCTGGGGTGAAAGCCATGCTGTTATGTTGAGCTGTAGGGGACTCAGGTCAAAAATTTCTGACATTGCCAGTGAAGCAAAAGACCCAATACTATTATGGACTACTGAACCCTTTTAGAATATTTTGCTGAGTTCACATACCTATAATATTTAAATGATGGAACTTAACAAAAAAGGGGGATACAGATGAATGTCCATTTTGTATCTGTGTATTCAAAGTGGTTAAGATAGATATAGAGTTTAATTCTCTTAACGAATAGAGGGATTTGCTCTAATGATGTTTGTAAATAGGATAACATTTCTGCATCTTGTACAGCAATTAACCACTAGGAAGAATGTATGCAATGTGTTAATTATTGAAACTGTCCTAACAAAAATATATTCTAAGTATCCAATTGCATATATATATATATATATATATATATATATATTTTCCATAGGATAGTTCAGACTGGCAAAGGGGAAGGGTATGTAGCTCAGTGGAACAGGATCTGCCTGGCAAGCAGGAGGCCCTGAGTTGTAGTTCCAGTATCAAAACACACACAAAAAATATGAAACAAAACAAACTGGCACACAACTATGACTTATATAAGGCAATTCTATCCTTTTCCCATTCATCCTATTTCTATACTTATGAGTAGCATTCAAGAGTGGAGACAACCCTAACTGCAAGTGCTCCAGCATTTCTACCTTCCATCACTTGACCAGCCCTCCACTCTCCATGAAGAAGAGAGAGTATTCAGGAGTATCTGAAATTATGGAATGTTGTATTTTAGGTGTTTCTTTTAGGAAAACAAAACTTCTATCAGTGCAAATCCACTGTTAAACACTATGCTATGTTGTGATCTTAGAACATCTAGAAATATAAAAGAAAAGCCCTACACAAAATTATGACATGGCTTTAGATAAATTATGAAAAGCAACAAAAGAACAAAAATTAATGTCTTAATCAGGACCAGCAATGCTGTACTTTCTGTCTGTGATCCACATCTTCACTCTTCCTTCTGGAACTTTAGAGCATTTGTGCTGAACAAAAGATCCATAGGGATTGGAAGGAAGAGTTCCTTTTCTAGAAAACTCAGGAAGGTGCATGGTACATGTCACTACCAAACCGATGCACCCTCTAGAAACACTCCCAAACTGATGTACCCTCTAGAAGCAACAGATAGTACCCTGCCCCTATAAACAAGAAGTATGGTTCATCTTGGTGGCTTTCTGGTGCCAGCTCTAACTATATACCTATATTGTGTGTTCAGCTTTGACTTCAAACCCTTCATCCAGATATTCTGAAATTGTGATCCCTATCTTACACCCTAAGTAAACTTACACTCCTCTACAGGCAGTTGCTGATATCACTCCAATGTCAGCCTACATGTATTTATGGAGAATAAAATTGATCTTTCACCCAGCCTCCATCTCCAGGTATTTCCTCACACTGTCATTATCAGATAGTCACCAAACCCATGGGGAAAAAAAGCAGAAGCAAGTGCCTAAGACTAACAGAAGTATCAGGCTGAATGCAATGGACCAAGAATGTGAACTCACAGCATGCAGATAAAGAAGTAAAAATGAAATACTTTTCTATAAATAATCTATGCACATCATAGCACATAAATTTCAACTTTTATCAGATTCCATGAGTTTGTTTGGGGGCCTTATTTCTTAGCATTTAAAAGCTATAAGAAAATGCTACAAGTACAACTTCTTACATGGTGCTTTGGGGCATTCATCCTCTGAGAGGTACCAAAACACCTTGTCAGAATCATAGACTAGCACAATACACAGCTTATAAAGACAAGTTTTGAGATTGCAGTAGGAAGCTGATACATGTGGAGTACAGTACAGACTCTATTTTAGTCATAATTGGTTCACTCTTAATTTCAAAATGTGAAGTAATATAGAAGTCAAAAATTTCAATTGACTGTGAACCACTAGAGAAGTCAGTAGGGAGGAAAGTGGATTCTCTTAAGTTTGAGTTTGCACTTTATTATTTGACTCAACAACCTCCAGTGGCTATGCATTTCCCTGAAAAAAATCAAAGTTCTTACCTTAGGTCATCAAAATAGTAACTGCTAAAACACACAGACTGCTTTATGTTTGAATGTTCTTTGAAGATTAAGAATACTATAGTAAATATATTTGTCATGCTGCTGTAATTTTTGCTAAGGAGTTAAATGTCTCAAGGGTCCAAATAAGCAGCCATCAGCTCTCTTATTTTCCTTTTATGATTGTGCAGGCCTTCTCTGGAGATGGCAGTGGATCCACACAGATAACACAGTCTTTGGGTGGTTTATCATGGAGCAAGAAGAATGTTTGCCTGCTGTCACACCAGAGAAGAATCAGAAGAACCTCCTTCTGTTATCAGTTCTCATGGAGGAAAGCATGTAGCCTTGTGACAAGCAACAGACTGAGTTCTTGGGTCCAGATACCAGATATTGCTTTATTTGCACTGGCATGTGGAAGTGAAGGTGAAAGCCACAGATTCTGGAGGAAGTAGACTTTGGAAGTATTGCCAAAAGGAAGGACTGATGTTTGGCTACACTCTCCCTGGGCCAAGTTCCTTGCTCTGACTTGTGATCCATGGCCTTTTCTCTCTTCTCTATCCTATACTTGTCTTCAGAGGCACTTGTTCTATCTCTGAAACTTAAATTCCCCAGCTCCCCTAGAAGTATACATCCAGGGAATAGGCTGTTAATGAAATCTCTTGGGCATGTTCTGGGGCCTGATATTTCTCTGCTGTTTTCTTAGTAATGAGCTCTGTGAGGTCATCAATTTTTATTCAATTCTAAAAGACAATCTTATAGACCATACTTAAATTATTTATGGACAACCAGATGTGGTGTTGGACACTTATAATCTCAACAATCGAGAGGCTGAGGCAGGAGAATCACCACCAGTAGGCCAACCTGGACACTATAGTAAGAATAACAGCAGCTTAATCCTGACAGTCAGACTATATATCAATCTGCAACTCTGAAAATGTGATTTATAAATGAATCAACAAAAGAGCAAAAATTCATTATAGTGTATTTCTGTGCCCCAGAGTATATGTGGTGTTTCCTGGCTTACTGTAGGGTATTGCTTCCTTTTCTTATGGTGCTCTTCAGTCTTTAGAATTTTCAATTCAATATGACTACTCTGGGTGAATTGCATAACCATGAGTGCTTTCCCTCATTGACCTCTGATGATATGCACAACTCATATTTGGTTAAGTTTCTCTGAATTATTGGTGTCATGCACAAATCAAGCTTGAGGATAGAGTTCATTATTTTACATACTGAGTAAAAAATTACAAAAAACTCCCTGAGAGAGGTTGTCCAGTTTCAGAGTGAACAAAAGTCTTCAAAATTCTCCAGAAATAAACAAATTAACAACTAATTAGATGTACCTTGATGACAGTAAACTATGAATGTACATAATAGGATGTGGAAAAAGTGTCTTCATAGTTTATATGTTCAAAATATTGTTCCCAAGAAGTTGAGCTTACAACAGAGTGATAATCAAAGGGGATGAGTGTTGTGGATATATCAATAAAAGGATTCATAACTCCAGTAAGTTCAGAGGAATAACTTCAAAACTTGTATTGCATAATGCACTGACAACTGTTAATACTGATAAACTCTATTCTTGAAAAGTGATTGGAGTGCAGATATTAATGAATTCACCACACAACATGATACATATGTGCGCCATGTTAATCTATTTTAAGTAGCTCAATTTAGCCATTATAAAATGTGCATTGATATGAATATATGAAGAAAACCACAACATACACATTTTTCATTATATAAAAGAGAGATTGAGTCTTTCAAATTTCTTCATTTTGATTT